AGTAAAAGAGTAAAGTAAAAGTTAAAACTTTTTTATTTAAGTAGGCATCTATTTTTTATTAAGTAGGCCTATTTATTTTGTATTAATACATAACCTTACTGTATTCATTCATAATGTATCATTATTGCATGACATTTGTGTCAATAATCGTCAAGCACAGGGGACTTCGCGTAGTGGGAGGGGGCCCCCAAATCAAATTCTGCTTAGGGCCCCCAAAAGGCTCGGACCGGCTCTGGAGACCAGACAGACAGTGTGAGTTTTTTGTGACAATTGTGAGGGAAATACACAATTTATTCCCATAAACTGTGTAGTCAGCCGTTCTCCCTCACATCTGCACCGTGTGAATTGTGAACGCAGGCAGGTCAGTGAGTTACAGGGCGCTCCTTGTCTCCATCCAGTTTAGGCTGGTAACTAAATGCCTGTTATATAGAATTAAGTTAGCAATAGCAGAGTTGTTTGTTTTGCAGCACTGAGCAGTTATTTTACATAACTTTATCATAAAAACAGTACAAAAGCATATCCAGATGACAAATATCTGGACATGCCTAGTAGTTAATGTTAATTATTGTTTTCTAAGAACAGAATGTCAATTAAAATGTTAAATGTAAAATTAAATGTAATGTAAATCTCCCAAGAAATTCTGTACAGATACCAAATACTTTGACAATCAATATATACTTATTACACTTCTGCTAATGCAAGGATTTTGTGTTTGTATTTTTCCCCACACCAAGCCACGCCCCTCAATAAGCCCCTCCCCATAACCCAAGCCCCGCCCCCCAAAATCTCACTCTAAGCTGAACTCAAAAGTTGGCAGCCCTGTATATGCAGTATCATGCAGAGAGAGAGAGAGAGAGAGAGAAATATTTGTGTGTGTTGTAAAGTGGTTAGAAAAAAGGAAATCAGATCGGCTAAAATCTGTATCGGCAGGTCAAACTCAATGAAAAATTGTAATAGGTGCATCTCTATAATCTTTCTGATAGGCTGGTATCAAACACCATCACATAATCTGATGTTCACCTAGAGGTTTTATTTATTTCTACATTTGCTGTAGTAGTGTCGATGGGTTCAATAACACATCCTGCAGAAGGGGGGCCTTGGCCAGAAGCTATTGGTATTTGGGGGGCCTTGGCATGGAAAAGTTTGGGAACCCCTGCTCTAGACTGATCTGGAAGACCAGTGGCCTCAACCATTGCCTCTGCAAGTAACCCTGAAGAAGTTGAGCTCGGTAAGCAATTGTTTTTGTTGATTTCATGTATGAGTGTGTTCAACCAAATACTGTATTTTTATTACATGTATTTAACTGTTATAACCTGAAGTGTGTCTATACTAACAGACAGGTAATTTTTGTAAAATACAAGTAATCCCATTTCATGTTGATTTGCATCTGTTCTGTTGTTTGAATGCATGATACTGCATTACAATTGTCTAATTCTAGGAACTGCAAGCACACCTGAAGCCTCAACTACCAAACAACAGTTTAGAGATGTAGATGCACAACGGATTATTGGTAAGTTTACCTCAAATGTTTTTACCCATCTAAACTGTATCACTGACTGTCTTCATGAAGTCCCTCTAAATGAATAAAAGTGCATTTTCTAATTAAAAAAAAAACGTTTTATGATAAATGTACAAATTTCCGAGAGATTACTTCGCGTCTTTTTAAACAACATAAACTGAGTTTGTGCTCTTGGTTTACAAGCTTGTAACATGTAAGGAATTGTAATGTAATTTTATTGCAAGATTTACAACTACAGCTACTCCAAAATGCAATGGACTGTGATGAACCCAGATCAGCAGCATCTCATGATTGGGCATTGAGGAGAACCTTGTCTGAAAAATGTCACTGTGTGCATTATGGTCCTTGTGATCACTGCACCTTGAAAGAAGCAGTCATCAGGCGCAAGGACTGTTTTCCGAAACCCCATTACTGTGGGCAGTGTGACGTTTCTACGCATCAATGTCTAGTTTTTCACAACAGAGAGACTCTTATAGATGGGTTCTATAAACCTCTCCCACCATCAACTGCTGTACAAGACCTCAATGGCCAAAATTTCCTATATGAGCAAGGTAAAAAGTACTTGAAATCTTAAAAATATGTTATTTATTTCCTTTTTTATAGTTAATATATTTTTCCTTTCATCTAGTGTGTTTGCTGCCCATTACACAACCTGGCAAAATTTGTGATTGTGACCCTCAAAACCTGTCTGTTGTAGCTGGACGATCAGTTGTACTCATCTGTTTAAATGGTATGACTTGCAATGTTTTGTATTGTATTTGTCTATTGGCTTAACCTGCTGACTGATGTCTGAAGAGTATCAATGTGTGTTTACTATTTATTTATTTATTTTCTTTTTAAATCTTTGCAGGTCGCTATGAGATCTTCCTGCCAGTTATTAATTGCAGAACATGGACACCTGAGGTGGTGGACCTGTTGTTTAGTGGTTACTGGCCAGGCACTGTCGGGTTTTTAAACCATATACCAGGTAGACCTTTTCTCGTCGTTTGTGGAGCTGAAGATCACTGCACCTGGGCTTTCAAGACAAGGATTTGTGAAAATGTTACAACAGCGCTCACACAACTTGTGCATGCAGATGTTGGTTGCATGAACGTGCATCGAAGATTCATATTTTGTAAATAAATTTGAGTTAAAATTGTCATAAGAAAAAGTTAAACCACTAGAGTCACATGGATTACTTTTGATTTCCTTTCCGTGGCTTTGGAAGTGGTAGTTGAATAGGCTGTCGATGGAGAGACACAAATCTCTTAGATTTCATTAAACATATCTTCATTAAGTGTTCCGAAGATGAGCAAAACTCTTACTGGTTTGGAACAACATGAGGGTGAATAATTAATGACAGAATTAACATTTTTGGATGAATGAAGTCTTTAATTTACTTGGAAATCAGTAAATTCAAGTCTTAAGCTAACTAAAAATGGTTTCTTGTTTGACTCACAAAAGTCTAAGATGATTGAACCTTTTCCACCATAAACTTGCTGAATTTATAAAACACAAATTGTATTAATTGTAATCGGTCTGGTTTTGTGTTGTGTTGTCTAGAGAACCAGCACTCCAGGATTTTTCGAGAAAGTTGGATCTGCACAGCCGTTCCTTATCTATGAAACTCTACTGTTAGCAACTGAACACAACTGATCCACTTATATCCTGCGACTGATCCACTCGTATCCTGCAACTGATCCACTCGTATCCTAAAACTGTTCTTCATATGCTGAATGTTGTTGACTCGAGCACTGCTGTACTATTGTAGAGTCGAAGGTACTGAATCAACTTCACTGACACAGGACTTAACATTCACTGACATGGTCAGGATTTGAAGTATTACAGACCATTTGATAAGCAGCTTTCATATAATTCTGATGACAGAAATGCCTATATTGTGCATTCATTGTTTTATTTTAAAGGTTAACCTATGATGTAAAGGGGCTTGTTCGTTAATAAAATAAATAATAAATAAAATTGTTAAAACCACTGTTTGCATTTTGCCTTTATTTTTTACTTTACAATGAACAGAATTCTACTATGGTCCCAGACTAAGGTTACAATTTAACTTTCTGGATTGTTTTGAAAGAGTAATATAGAGTGATGTGTTTATTTCAAAGTGAATTTATTCTTTTCAGATGAAATGATTTGTCAGTTTATTTTACAGTTCTTTAAAGTAGGTAATGCAGAACCCTAATAAGAAAAACTGGTAACTCCTTTAGTGTTGTTTTTCTTTGTAAAAAGGTGTTCTATCAACACCATGGTGGTGTAATACTCGACTCCTAAGGCTGAGAAGAATTCCATGATGAGTGATTTCCATTTTCTTTTTGATTTTCTAAAGTGTTTGGTCGACACCAGAACAGTGTAGAATTTTAACTCTGCCAGTGTTTGCTACAAAGCTGCACCCAGCTCTGTAACAGTGTTGTTGTTCTCTGCATTGGTCATATTTTACTCTTATTGTTCATATTGTAACACAGTGTCAGTGTTGCGAGAGGAAACACTTTTGAAAGTGTTGAGATTTCCAGATTTCAAATTTACTGTTCAAATCCTGAAGGAAAATGACCAGTCCTCATAAAGGTCAGAGGTATTTTGACACTACATCCGCCAACCAGCTTCTGCACTGTACAATTTCCAAATTTGCAAACTTCATATAAGTGATGTTGGTCATCTAAACATGAAATCTGTATGACGCACTTTATATAACACGTATAAAAAAAGAACTTATAAGAACTTTAAATGATTTGTATATGAATATCGGGTGTTTTCTACTAATACCATACACCATTACATATTTTTGTCATGTACAACTCATATAAGACTTTTTACAGTATTCATATATGACGCAAAAATACCCTATAAGTTGTATGTGTGCTATTTAGTATGAAAGGGGCCATAATCGGTCTGATTTTATATAGGACATGTATTGGTCTTACATGAAACACATAAGGTAATTCTGGCCAATTTAAGTAAGGAAGATATATTGTTGCTGTATATGAACCATGCAGGTTTTTTTCATATGGGCGGATTTGGATCGGCCTCATCTGACCGATACCCGATCCGGCCAAGAATGGCGGGATCTGAGCCGATACCGGCTATAGCCGATAGTGTCGGATCGGGACATCCCTAAAATGAATGTACTACTGTTTTTTGGGGGAAAACGTTCATGAAAATATGAGGAAAAGAAAATGCCATTATGTCTCTTTATTCTCTTTTTTATATATGTAGGATGAAGATATACAGATGAAAAATCAGTATCAAACTACACTTAAAAAAAGGTATTATTTAACATTTTAAATTTAACAGATTTACTGCTTTAACAAAACACTTTTGAGTCACGTGATATTCATGGGTCCTGTCTTTCTCAGTGCTGAAACTCTTTATAAAAACTTACATGAATAGACAGCTCAGACATTTATACAGTAATGTATTGCAAATTTCACACATTTGTTCTCATTAACAGAGTCATATGTTAATGATTATTCATAATTTTCATCTTAAATCATACGCTGAAGGTTCAGAATTATTGGAATCACATTCTGCAAAGCTCCTGTTATCTTAAGGGAAACAGTAGGAAACCACTGAAAGTGCAGTGGTTATTCTGGCTATCAAATATCCTCGTGTTAGGCCAAAGTCTCACATAGACAACATCTCCAACCTCCAGGATCAACACAACTCCATTCGAGGAGCTTAACCGACCCGTTGCTTGAAGATCATCTGCAATAACCACACGCTCTCCATTCTTAACAATAGTTGCAGTTGCTGCAGTTCCGCCATAACCAAATACAGAGATTCTGAACATGTACGCTCCTTTCAGCGGGGCTGTGAAAACACCTAAATCAAATAACAAGAGATACAGAATCAGCTGTTTACTGTATGATCGCTTAATTACCAAACACACTGTGCAATAGTTTTGAAAGATGGCAGATCATTTAATTCTCTTATACACATTACACAACTGCAGAGAGGTTGAAGAAGGTAGTATTTTCAATAGTATTTTCATTACTATTGTGACGAGGTGTGTGGTTCCGCGAGGTCTGTACCGGGAGAGAGAGAAAGGAGAGTGGTCCGTAAGTAGATCAAGTGCAAATGACGAACACCTGTGTCTCGTTGCAGTAATTGGCATGAAGAGACCGTATATAAGCCGCTGTGGAGTGAGACGACTGAGAAGGACTGTGGAGTCGTATGCCGTCAAGCAATTGCAAAGTGAAGTGGAAAGAGTTTTAAGTGAAAGTGATTTGAGCTGTAGCGTGGCTACGGTGAATGCGCTGTATGCGCGCCTTTTGTTTTGTTTATTGTTGTTTTGAGTTTGTACAAATAAAACGTACAAGTCCCAGTCACACCGACCCTGTCTTCTTCCTTCCAAACACTGAACCTCATCACAACTATAAACTTTTACGAAGTTAAACTATCCAAGTTTTATGAATCATTTCATTGATAATTACCTGTGATTGGGTTGTAGGCGTTCCCTATGTTTGTGAAGACTTTGCTGTAGGTTATGCCGAGTTCAGACTGCACGATTTTAGCCCCGATATTGGCTCGCCGACAGGTTTTGAGAAATCGCCGACAAATGCCCAAAATCACAGGCAAATCGGTGCTCGTTCACGCGAGTGACAATCACGCAGTGTGAATGAGCAAAGACGCGATCTGAGAGAATCGCCGACGCCCGTGAGATATTTGGCATGCTAAATATCTGGACCTGTCGGCGATTCACAATCCTGCTGTGTGAATGTGTTCTGACTGAAAACTACATCGGCGATGACCGACAGCCAATGAGAGAGCAAGATACAGGGAGGAGGAGGAGGAGTTATAGACCAGAATATCAGTATTTTAATAGATAGGCTTATATTTACAATTATATCAAACAGAAACAAAGCACAAACATTTGCATGACCAGCAGCAACAGCAGGACATTTGCAAAATTATTTATTTACCCGCAACTCTCTTTGCAAAACACAGTCCTTGCTCCCCTCGTCTTCCCAACCATTTCCTGCATAAACTGTTTATTATTTTTTTCATTTTCGCTACAAATCAGTGCACAGACAATTTGTAGGCTATCATTTTTAATAATAAATTCAGTGTCGCGCGAGAACTCCGGCCTCACGCACGTGTGATCTTCCGTTATTTCCTATCACTTCTCGCGTTTGTTTGGTTGTGAAACGTAGTTTGCGGACCAGGCAGAAGTTGTCGGCGATTCTTTCTTTTGTAAAGTCATGCAGTGTGAAACCTCCTGTCGCCGATCCATCGTGCAGTGTGAACACAGCAGCAACTGAATGTTACCCCAGATAGTCATGCAGTGTGAAAACAACAGTGACCCGATTATTTTGAAAATCGTGCAGTCTGAACTCGGCATTAGTGTGATTTCAGTGGTAAAAGGACCAATATATCCACTGCCAGATTGCATCAGTGAAGCTGAAAAAGCTATTTTTCTGTCTGTTGTTGAAAAACATAAACAATATTGTGATATATTACACTGAGAATGTATACACTGAATTTAACATATTTCAAGCTCACTTTCACCTCTATTTTCCTTTCTCAACTCCACTTGACCCAGAGTAAGATTTGAGATTTCTGTGAAGGAATAAACATTGTTAAATGACATTTACTCTGCTTATTGTAATAGATAACACAATTTACACAATATACACTCAACTTTACACTAACATTTACACTATGCAATGTATTTCATTGGTGTTTTACTTTGAGGATCATTGATAAAAGAGTGAATGTTTTGGTGAGGTACCATCATTTTTCTTGTTGATCTCTTCCCTCAGTTTCGTCTCTAAAGCTCTGATGTTTGTTTTCTGCTCTGTAACTGTGGCGGTCAGTTCTCTGATGTGTGTTTTCTGCTCTGTAACTGTGGCGGTCAGTTCTCTGATGTGTGTTTTCTGCTCTGTAACTGTGGCGGTCAGTTCTCTGATGTGTGTTTTCTGCTCTGTAACTGTGGCGGTCAGTTCTCTGATGTGTGTTTTCTGCTCTGTAACTGTGGCGGTCAGTTCTCTGATGTGTGTTTTCTGCTCTGTAACTGTGGCGGTCAGTTCTCTGATGTGTGTTTTCTGCTCTGTAACTGTGGCGGTCAGTTCTCTGATGTGTGTTTTCTGCTCTGTAACTGTGGCGGTCAGTTCTCTGATGTTGGTTTTCTGCTCTGTAAATGTGGCGGTCAGTTCTCTGATGTGTGTTTTCTGCTCTGTAACTGTGGCGGTCAGTTCTCTGATGTGTGTTTTCTGCTCTGTAACTGTGGCGGTCAGTTCTCTGATGTTTGTTTTCTGCTCGTGTGTTTTCTGTTCTGTAACTGTGGCGGTCAGTTCTCTGATCTGTGTTTTCTGCTCTGTAACTGTGGTGGTCAGTTCTCTGATGTGTGTTTTCTGCTCTGTAACTGTGGCGGTCAGTTCTCTGATGTGTGTTTTCTGCTCTGTAACTGTGGCGGTCAGTTCTCTGATGTTTGTTTTCTGCTCTGTAACTGTGGTGGTCAGTTCTCTGATGTGTGTTTTCTGCTCTGTAACTGTGGCGGTCAGTTCTCTGATGTGTGTTTTCTGCTCTGTAACTGTGGCGGTCAGTTCTCTGATGTGTGTTTTCTGCTCTGTAACTGTGGCGGTCAGTTCTCTGATGTGTGTTTTCTGCTCAGTAACTGTGGCGGTCAGTTCTCTGATGTGTGTTTTCTGCTCTGTAACTGTGGCGATCAGTTCTCTGATGTGTGTTTTCTGCTCTGTAACTGTGGCGGTCAGTTCTCTGATGTGTGTTTTCTGCTCTGTAACTGTGGCGGTCAGTTCTCTGATGTGTGTTTTCTGCTCTGTAACTGTGGCGGTCAGTTCTCTGATGTTGGTTTTCTGCTCTGTAACTGTGGCGGTCAGTTCTCTGATGTGTGTTTTCTGCTCTGTAACTGTGGCGGTCAGTTCTCTGATGTGTGTTTTCTGCTCTGTAACTGTGGCGGTCAGTTCTCTGATGTTTGTTTTCTGCTCGTGTGTTTTCTGTTCTGTAACTGTGGCGGTCAGTTCTCTGATCTGTGTTTTCTGCTCTGTAACTGTGGTGGTCAGTTCTCTGATGTGTGTTTTCTGCTCTGTAACTGTGGCGGTCAGTTCTCTGATGTGTGTTTTCTGCTCTGTAACTGTGGTGGTCAGTTCTCTGATGTGTGTTTTCTGCTCTGTAACTGTGGCGGTCAGTTCTCTGATGTGTGTTTTCTGCTCAGTAACTGTGGCGGTCAGTTTCTCTGATGTGTGTTTTCTGCTCTGTAACTGTGGCGGTCAGTTCTCTGATGTGTGTTTTCTGCTCTGTAACTGTGGCGGTCAGTTCTCTGATGTGTGTTTTCTGCTCTGTAACTGTGGCGGTCAGTTCTCTGATGTTGGTTTTCTGCTCTGTAACTGTGGCGGTCAGTTCTCTGATGTGTGTTTTCTGCTCTGTAACTGTGGCGGTCAGTTCTCTGATGTTGGTTTTCTGCTCTGTAACTGTGGCGGTCAGTTCTCTGATGTTGGTTTTTTGCTCTGTAACTGTGGCGGTCAGTTCTCTGATGTTGGTTTTCTGCTCTGTAACTGTGGCGGTCAGTTCTCTGATGTTGGTTTTCTGCTCTGTAACTGTGGCGGTCAGTTCTCTGATGTTGGTTTTCTGCTCTGTAACTGTGGCGGTCAATTCTCTGATGTTTGTTTTCGGCTCTGTAACTGTGGCGGTCAGTTCTCTGATGTTGGTTTTCTGCTCTGTAACTGTGGCGGTCAGTTCTCTGATGTTTGTTTTCTGCTCTGTAACTGTGGCGGTCAGTTCTATGTGTGTTTTCTGCTCTGTAACTGTGGCGGTCAGTTCTCTGTTGATGATTTTCTGCTCTGTAACTGTGGCGGTCAGTTCTCTGATGTGTGTTTTCTGCTCTGTAACTGTGGCGGTCAGTTCTCTGATGTGTGTTTTCTGCTCTGTAACTGTGGCGGTCAGTTCTCTGATGTGTGTTTTCTGCTCTGTAACTGTGGCGGTCAGTTCTCTGTTGTGTGTTTTCTGCTCTGTAACTGTGGCGGTCAGTTCTCTGATGTGTGTTTTCTGCTCTGTAACTGTGGCGGTCAGTTCTCTGTTGATGATTTTCTGCTCTGTAACTGTGGCGGTCAGTTCTCTGATGTGTGTTTTCTGCTCTGTAACTGTGGCGGTCAGTTCTCTGATGTTTGTCTTCTGCTCTGTAACTGTGGCGGTCAGTTCTCTGATGTGTGTTTTCTGCTCTGTAACTGTGGCGGTCAGTTCTCTGATGTTTGTCTTCTGCTCTGTAACTGTGGCGGTCAGTTCTCTGATGTGTGTTTTCTGCTCTGTAACTGTGGCGGTCAGTTCTCTGATGTTTGTCTTCTGCTCTGTAACTGTGGCGGTCAGTTCTCTGATGTGTGTTTTCTGCTCTGTAACTGTGGCGGTCAGTTCTCTGATGTGTGTTTTCTGCTCTGTAACTGTGGTGGTCAGTTCTCTGATGTTGGTTTTCTGCTCTGTAACTGTGGCGGTCAGTTCTCTGATGTGTGTTTTCTGCTCTGTAACTGTGGCGGTCAGTTCTCTGATGTTGGTTTTCTGCTCTGTAACTGTGGCGGTCAGTTCTCTGATGTTGGTTTTCTGCTCTGTAACTGTGGCGGTCAGTTCTCTGATGTTGGTTTTCTGCTCTGTAACTGTGGCGGTCAGTTCTCTGATGTTGGTTTTCTGCTCTGTAACTGTGGCGGTCAGTTCTCTGATGTTGGTTTTCTGCTCTGTAACTGTGGCGGTCAGTTCTCTGATGTTTGTTTTCTGCTCTGTAACTGTGGCGGTCAGTTCTCTGTGTGTTTTCTGCTCTGTAACTGTGGCGGTCAGTTCTCTGATGTGTGTTTTCTGCTCTGTAACTGTGGCGGTCAGTTCTCTGATGTGTGTTTTCTGCTCTGTAACTGTGGCGGTCAGTTCTCTGATGTATGTTTTCTGCTCTGTAACTGTGGCGGTCAGTTCTCTGATGTTTGTTTTCTGCTCTGTAACTGTGGCGGTCAGTTCTCTGATGTGTGTTTTCTGCTCTGTAACTGTGGCGGTCAGTTCTCTGATGTGTGTTTTCTGCTCTGTAACTGTGGCGGTCAGTTCTCTGATGTGTGTTTTCTGCTCTGTAACTGTGGCGGTCAGTTCTCTGATGTGTGTTTTCTGCTCTGTAACTGTGGCGGTCAGTTCTCTGTTGTGTGTTTTCTGCTCTGTAACTGTGGCGGTCAGTTCTCTGATGTGTGTTTTCTGCTCTGTAACTGTGGCGGTCAGTTCTCTGATGTGTGTTTTCTGCTCTGTAACTGTGGCGGTCAGTTCTCTGATGTTTGTCTTCTGCTCTGTAACTGTGGCGGTCAGTTCTCTGATGTGTGTTTTCTGCTCTGTAACTGTGGCGGTCAGTTCTCTGATGTTTGTCTTCTGCTCTGTAACTGTGGCGGTCAGTTCTCTGATGTGTGTTTTCTGCTCTGTAACTGTGGCGGTCAGTTCTCTGATGTTTGTCTTCTGCTCTGTAACTGTGGCGGTCAGTTCTCTGATGTGTGTTTTCTGCTCTGTAACTGTGGCGGTCAGTTCTCTGATGTGTGTTTTCTGCTCTGTAACTGTGGCGGTCAGTTCTCTGTTGATGATTTTCTGCTCTGTAACTGTGGCGGTCAGTTCTCTGATGTGTGTTTTCTGCTCTGTAACTGTGGTGGTCAGTTCTCTGATGTTTGTCTTCTGCTCTGTAACTGTGGCGGTCAGTTCTCTGATGTGTGTTTTCTGCTCTGTAACTGTGGCGGTCAGTTCTCTGATGTTTGTCTTCTGCTCTGTAACTGTGGCGGTCAGTTCTCTGATGTGTGTTTTCTGCTCTGTAACTGTGGCGGTCAGTTCTCTGATGTTTGTCTTCTGCTCTGTAACTGTGGCGGTCAGTTCTCTGATGTGTGTTTTCTGCTCTGTAACTGTGGCGGTCAGTTCTCTGATGTTTGTCTTCTGCTCTGTAACTGTGGCGGTCAGTTCTCTGATGTGTGTTTTCTGCTCTGTAACTGTGGCGGTCAGTTCTCTGATGTGTGTTTTCTGCTCTGTAACTGTGGCGGTCAGTTCTCTGATGTTGGTTTTCTGCTCTGTAACTGTGGCGGTCAGTTCTCTGATGTGTGTTTTCTGCTCTGTAACTGTGGCGGTCAGTTCTCTGATGTTGGTTTTCTGCTCTGTAACTGTGGCGGTCAGTTCTCTGATGTTGGTTTTCTGCTCTGTAACTGTGGCGGTCAGTTCTCTGATGTTGGTTTTCTGCTCTGTAACTGTGGCGGTCAGTTCTCTGATGTTGGTTTTCTGCTCTGTAACTGTGGCGGTCAGTTCTCTGATGTTGGTTTTCTGCTCTGTAACTGTGGCGGTCAGTTCTCTGATGTTTGTTTTCTGCTCTGTAACTGTGGCGGTCAGTTCTCTGTGTGTTTTCTGCTCTGTAACTGTGGCGGTCAGTTCTCTGTTGATGATTTTCTGCTCTGTAACTGTGGCGGTCAGTTCTCTGATGTGTGTTTTCTGCTCTGTAACTGTGGCGGTCAGTTCTCTGATGTGTGTTTTCTGCTCTGTAACTGTGGCGGTCAGTTCTCTGATGTGTGTTTTCTGCTCTGTAACTGTGGCGGTCAGTTCTCTGATGTTTGTTTTCTGCTCTGTAACTGTGGCGGTCAGTTCTCTGATGTGTGTTTTCTGCTCTGTAACTGTGGCGGTCAGTTCTCTGATGTGTGTTTTCTGCTCTGTAACTGTGGCGGTCAGTTCTCTGATGTGTGTTTTCTGCTCTGTAACTGTGGCGGTCAGTTCTCTGATGTGTGTTTTCTGCTCTGTAACTGTGGCGGTCAGTTCTCTGTTGTGTGTTTTCTGCTCTGTAACTGTGGCGGTCAGTTCTCTGATGTGTGTTCCCTTTCGAGGGAACTTAACACTGCGTCGAGAATCGACTCTTTGGGGACGCTCCCTTAGCGTGCGCCTCTGAAGTATGAATGAAACTATTCCAATCCTGATTGGTGTTGCGTCATGACGTAACATGTGACGGCATAACCGGATGCATAAAAGCTACGCCGGAACAAACACAAACTAGCTTTCGCTCTTCAGCAAGCGCTCTGTGTTGAAACTGTGTGTCTTATTTGGTGTTGTTTGTCACATATATTGTATATAATGGCCAGCGAACAATTCAAAGCTTGTGTGCCTCCCTGCCCTCGTTTTATCACGGGTGGGGACACACATGCTTTGTGTGTGAGTTGTTTGGGAGCGCAGCATGCACGGGCAGCTCTCGAGGGAGCTGCTTGTGTAGACTGTGAAGCACTTCCCATTAGAGTGCTGCGCTCCCGGCTGGCGTGCTTTGATGAGCACGGTCAGGCTCGCGTTCCCCATGGTTCTGGTCCCGCGTCCGTTGAGGCGGCGCGGCGATTGAGATCGTGGGGTTCGCAGCGGGATCTTGTGGATGAGATTGAGACTGCTGAGGCACCTTCTCACTCTTCATCCGAGGATCTCGTAGCCTCTGAGAGTGGTGCAGGAGCCCGCATCGCGGCTTCTCCTGCCCATGATCAGGTCCCGATGCTTGAGCTCTCTGCTTCCGAGGAAGTAGATGTGCTCAGCATCGATGCGGATGACCGTGATCTAGGCGCGCCAGTTCACGGCCAAGGTTATGAGGAGCTGGTGGAGGTTGTGACTCGTGCTGTGGCCAGACTTAACATCAGCTGGCCACATGATGAGCAGGGAACGCAAGTGAGAAGCAAGCTTGATGAGCGTTTCCTGCAGCACAGATCGCAACCTCAGCGCCGGGGTTTGCCGTTTTTCCCCGATCTCCACAAAGAGATTTCGAGATCGTGGGATAAACCGCACTCATCCCATGTCTCCAATCCCAGTATGGTGGATTACAGCAATGTTATGGGGGCACGGGATATGGGTTATGGGAAGATGCCTAAGGTGGAAGAGGCTTTAGCGGGTTATCTTTCTCCTGAGTCGGCATCTTCCCTAAAAACCCCGGCGTTGCCTAGTAAGCCCTGCAGAGATACATCTGCATTAATAGGCAGGGCTTACATGGCGGCAGGTCGGGCTGGTTCATGTCTGCACTCTATGGCACTCTTGCAGGCATACCAGGCCGACCTCCTGAAAGATTTGGATGAGGGGGAGGGGCCAACTCCTGAAGATATTGCGGAGTTAAGGAGAGCCACAGATCTGTCTCTTCGGGCCACAAAAGAGACGGCCCGCGCTATTGGCCGCTCTATGGCAGCTATGGTGGCCACGGAGAGACATCTGTGGCTGAATTTATCTGGCATGAAAGAGAAGGATAGATCCTTTCTGCTGGATGCGCCGCTTTCGCCTTCTGGCCTGTTCGGCGACGCCGTTACATCGGTCGTCGACAGGTTTCAGGAGGCGAAGAAACAATCTGCGGCGTTCCAGCAGTACCTCCCCCGTAAGGCGAAATCCAAATCGAGTAGGGTGGGGCCAAAAGATCAGCCCCAGCCATCAGCCGGCTCCTCACACCGAGCAGAGCAGAGAGAGAGCGTTTCCTCTAGAGCCCCTCCTCCTGGAGCTTGGCAACAGAGGAAACACTCTCAAAAGTCGAAGTCCTCCAGCCAGAAGGGCGACCTGAGGGACGTCATTCAGGCTAGGAGGGCTTCGGGGAAGAGGTCCTAACCGAAGTGGTAGGACCTCTGAGGGCTGTCCCCTCCGCTGTAGGGCAACCGAGGTTGTTCTCGCAGCGGAGCCCTCTAGGAAACGATGTATGTTGCCCGCCGTCCACGACGCTTCGGGCCGCATCTCTTTCCAGCGAAAATATTTTAATAAAGAAAAAGCATCAATTATGGTCACAAAAGCCGTATCGACTACACCCTGCCGGTATTCCGCTTCAGGGAGTCGAGAAAGATGCTCGAAAAACACCAGAGGCCAGTCTCGAGAGGCTGGTACCCCTAGTAGATTTTGTAGAGGCATGGTATCATCTTCCCAACATATCTGCATGGGTCCTGCATATAATAAAATCAGGGTACAGACTGCAGTTCGCGCGCTGCCCCCCCAGGTTTTCAGGGGTAGTGCAGACTACAGTGGTTCCAGAGCAGGCTCAGGTGATGGAACAGGAGGTACAGACTCTGCTGCTAAAGGAAGCCATAGAACGTGTTCTTCCTTTGGACAGGGAGTCCGGGTTTTACAGCCGGTACTTTATAGTTCCAAAGAAGGATGGGGGGTTAAGGCCAATTTTAGATCTCAGGGTTTTGAACCGGTCTCTGAGGAGGTTCAGGTTCAAAATGCTAACCATTCCTGCAATCGTGAGTCAGATCAGGTCCGAGGACTGGTTTGTCACGATAGATCTAAAAGACGCTTATTTTCACATCTCCATCCTTCCATGTCACAGGAGATACCTGAGGTTCGCTTTCGGGGGCGAAGCTTACCAATATCGGGTTCTTCCGTTCGGCCTAGCTCTCTCTCCCCGCACATTTACCAAATGTATGGATGTAGCCCTTGCTCCACTGAGACTTCAAGGCATTCGTATATTGAATTATCTCGACGACTGGCTCATTCTGGCTCAGTCTCGGGAGATGGCAGTTCGGCATCGAGATGTCGTCCTTGGCCACATTCAGAAATTGGGGTTGAGACTCAATACAAAGAAAAGTGTGCTAGAACCATCCCAGTGCACGATGTTTTTGGGAGTCGTGTGGAACTCGATTACGATGCAGGCACGAATGTCTCCCGCACGTATCGAGTCAATTCTGGGGATGGTATCCAGGTTAAAGCTAGGCCAAGCCATCACTGTAAAGCAATTTCAAAGAATGCTGGGCCTCATGGCAGCGGCATCCAACATCATTCCTTTGGGCCTTCTACATATGAGGCCCCTTCAGTGGTGGTTAAAAACCAAGGGGTTTTCTCCCAAAGGAAATCCGTTTCGTATGATCAGAGTAACGCGCAGATGCCTTCGTTCTCTACAAATATGGAAGAAACCTTGGTTTCTGTCCCAAGGGCCAGTGTTGGGAGTGTCTTGTCGCCGGAAAACCGTTTCGACAGACGCCTCCCTCACTGGCTGGGGCGCGGTCATGGACGGCCGCTTTGCCAGGGGTCTGTGGCAGGACCATCATCATTCTTGGCATATAAATTGCCTGGAGATGATGGCTGTGTTCAGGGCTCTGAGGAGCTTCCTCCCAGACATCAAAGGTCACCATGTATTAGTACGATCAGACAATACGTCAGTGGTAGCCTATCTGAACCGACAAGGGGGACTCAGATCGCGCCCTCTGTGCAGACTGGCGCATCAGATTATTCTTTGGTCCCAGGGGAAAATACTGTCTATCAGAGCAATGTATATTCCGGGGGTTCAGAATCAGGGAGCAGACATCCTGTCGAGGCAGGGGCTGAGGCCCGGGGAATGGAGACTTCACCCAGAGGTGGTGAAGTTAATATGGGAGAGGTTTGGACCGATGGAAGTGGACCTGTTTGCGTCTCGAGAGACGTCCCACTGTCCACTTTGGTTCTCCCTCTCACATCCAGCCCCACTGGGGTTGGATGCCATGGTACAGGCCTGGCCGAGGCTTCGCCTGTACGCTTTTCCCCCGATCGCTCTGCTTCCGGGAGTCCTGGAGAGGGTCCGTCAGGAGGGCATCAGTTTACTTCTGGTTGCCCCAAGGTGGCCGACCCGAGTATGGTTTTCAGACATAATATCACTCCTGATAGCTCCGCCATGGCAGATTCCTCTGAGGAGGGATCTGTTGTCTCAAGCGGAGGGCACAGTCTTCCACCCTCACCCAGAGCTGTGGAAGCTGTGGGTCTGGCCTCTGAGGGGGTTCAGTACCTAGATGCTGGTCTATCAGCCGGAGTGGTTGAAACCATACTTAGTTCTAGGGCTCCATCTACTAGGAGATTATATGGCCTCAAGTGGAATGTTTTTTCCGCTTGGTGTAGAGAACAGGAGTTAGATCCAGTTAACTGCCCAGTGGCTTCAGTTCTGGAGTTTCTTCAAAATCGTTTCTCTGCGGGTCTCTCCCCTTCCACACTTAAGGTGTACGTGGCTGCCATTGCGGCTTTCCATGCACCTTTGAGTGAGGGGCCTCTGGGGAGGCACCAGTTGGTCATTCGGTTTCTCCGTGGTACTCGGAGGATGAGACCGACAACCAGGTCCAGGGTTCCTACCTGGGACCTGGCAATAGTTCTTGAAGGGTTATCCCTGGCCCCCTTCGAACCTTTGCAGTCGGCTTCGCCTAAGGACTTGACGCTAAAAGTGGTATTTCTCTTGGCTATTACCTCACTTAAGAGGGTGGGAGATCTCCAAGCCCTGGCAGTGACACCAGCTTGCTTGGAGTTTGCCCCTGGCAGAGTAAAAGCTTTTTTGCACCCGAGTCCGGGCTATGTGCCTAAAGTTCCATCTAGTACGGCTCGGTCTACAGTCCTTCAGGCATTCCATCCTCCACCTCATGTGTCGGCAGAAGAAGAGAAGCTTCATTTGCTCTGCCCCGTCAGAGCTTTGAGCGTGTACCTTGAGAGGTCCTCTTCTTGGAGAAGGTCGGACCAATTATTAGTATGTTTTGGGTCACCTAAGAAGGGGCTCCCAGCATCCAAGCAGACTATTAGTAATTGGATTGTTCAAGCTATTACTGAGGCTTACAAGGTGCGCAACTTGCCTTCACCTTTAGCCGTGAGGGCTCATTCAACTAGAGGCATGGCTTCCTCTAGGGCCCTTCTTTCGGGAGTACCCCTACAGGAGATCTGTGAGGCAGCCGGTTGGGCTACTCCACATACTTTTATTAGGTTCTACAGTCTCCACCTTCCTAGTACGCCTGGTGCACACGTGCTTAGTCCTCGCTGAGTGCCTAGACAGTTTCACTCCGGGACAGGCCTATTCGGTGCGTGGCCTAGTGGGCACTCGTTCCCCAAAGAGTCGATTCTCGACGCAGTGTTAAGTTCCCTCGAAAGGGAACGTCTCGGGTTATGACTATAACCCTTGTTCCCTGAGAAGGGAACGAGACACTGCGTCGTTCTGCCACGCCCCTTAAGGCCTGAGAGCGGCTTGCTTCATCGCTAGGCTAGTTTGTGTTTGTTCCGGCGTAGCTTTTATGCATCCGGTTATGCCGTCACATGTTACGTCATGACGCAACACCAATCAGGATTGGAATAGTTTCATTCATACTTCAGAGGCGCACGCTAAGGGAGCGTCCCCAAAGAGTCGATTCTCGACGCAGTGTCTCGTTCCCTTCTCAGGGAACAAGGGTTATAGTCATAACCCGAGACGTTTTCTGCTCTGTAACTGTGGCGGTCAGTTCTCTGATGTGTGTTTTCTGCTCTGTAACTGTGGCGGTCAGTTCTCTGATGTTTGTCTTCTGCTCTGTAACTGTGGCGGTCAGTTCTCTGATGTGTGTTTTCTGCTCTGTAACTGTGGCGGTCAGTTCTCTGATGTTTGTCTTCTGCTCTGTAACTGTGGCGGTCAGTTCTCTGATGTGTGTTTTCTGCTCTGTAACTGTGGCGGTCAGTTCTCTGATGTTTGTCTTCTGCTCTGTA